AAAATAGTTTAAAAATAAAATTTGCCTTTGCACGGAAAAAGAAATAGACCCATACATAATACGTATTTGGCCAAGTGATTTTTGACAAAGGTGCCAAAGCAATTCAATGTGGAAAGGACCGTCTTTACAACAAATGGTCATGAAACAATTAGATACTCATATGTTTAAAAAAGAAGAATCTTGACTATTCCTTTACACAAAATTTAATATTGTCTTAAAATAGTTTTACCTAATATCAATATTACTGAACAGCATACACAAAAATACTAAGAACAAATTAATATGATCAGATGGATCACAGACCTAAATTTAAGATCTAAAACGATAAAGCTTCTAGAAGAAACCGTGGGGAGGAAGAAACACAACAAAACTAAATCTTTTTGGTCTTGTGTCAGCAGAGACTTTATAGATAAGACAGGGGAAGCACAATCTATACAGAAAAGCATTGATCCATTTGACTTCATGAAACTTTAAAACTTTTAATCTTCAAAAGATACTGTTAATGAAAAGGAAGGTTACCAAAGGGAGAAAATATTTGCCAAGTGAAATATAATGAAGGACTCGCATCTGGCATGGCCGCCTGTTTTTGCTAATCAGGTTTATAATCTGTGGTTCTTTCAGGCTGAAATGTCAGAGAGAAGTGATTGCAGCCCTGACCTGATGGCCCACAAGCATAAAACATTTACCGTCTGGCCGTCTAAGAAAAAGCTTGCCAACACCTGAGAGACAATATTTAAAGAACTCTAACAACAAAATAGTAAGAAGATGGACAGTCACATTTTTTATGTGCATAAAAAATTTGATCAGGTGCTCCACCGAAGAACATATATGAGCATCAGTGAGACTTTTGCTGATGCAAAATGTATTTGTTTTTGAAAACTGCTCTGTGCTAATTAGAACAGCTTTATAATAAGTTTTGATCCCTCTTTTGGGCAAAACTTCCCACCTCATCTAGTTGCTCAGAACTGCTATGGCTCTCCTTGGCCCAGATGCATTTTAGAATCACTTTGTCAACTTTCATTAAAAACCCTTTTACAATTATGATTTGATTACACTGACTTTGTATATTCATGTGGGCAAATCGACATCTTTCCGATACTAACTTTTGCCACTCACAGACATGAGGTGTTTTAGGGTTTCTTTGATGACTTTCAGTTCACCAGTTCACAGGGCTTTTTGGTCCCATGATGATTTTATGCATCCCTACTTAGAGCTCTCTTTAATACTTTCTAGTTTATGGAATCTTTAAATACTATTATTACTCTTTGCAGTGGGTTTGGGACTACTGTACATGAATGTAATTGAGTTTTGAACATTGATCTTATATCCAGCAAGCTTATCACACTCAGACTAGTGCTCATAGTATAGACATTCTCTTCTGTGTAACTCTTACAACATCAATCGACTCACCTAGATTAGTTTTTACCTTCATTAAAGTTACATATGCATGCGCTTCAAGAGGCAAATAGTTCTACACCTTCTCCATATGAAAACTGGAGCCTCCCGACCTCCCACTATTTTCCACCTCCCAGAGGCAACCATTTTCCACTCTTTCAATTGATTATTTTTAACCAATTCTTCTAGATTCTGTAGACAGATCTCATAGAGCATCCTTATATTGTCTCATCTTGAATTCTCACCTGTAGGCATTATTCACTGACTTCCCACTCTGGATGATGGGGATGCAATGCTTTGTTACTTTGGACCCCACACCACATGTGCGTATTTCTACCCCACCACCTTAATATTTTAATTTTAGATAACGTCATAGTCAGTATCCACATTATAATGGCAATGATATTGTGTTTTATAGCTCAATCCTTTTTTTTTCTTTCAAGATCTTATTTAAATTAAAGTTAGTTCACATATAGTGTAGTATTAGTTTCAGGGGTAGAATTTGAATTTAGTGATTCACCAGTAACATACAACATCCAGTGCTTATTACATCAAGTGTCTCAACCTTGTAGCATTCCCAGCTTTTGTTTGCGTTGATCTGCTCATGTGTATTTTGTGCAGCCACCACCATATTCAGGGTACACAACAGTTTCATGGCTGCAGAACTTACCCTTGTGTTAACCTCTCTTAGTGACAGCCAGCCCCACCACCCAAACCTCTGGCACATGCCAATCTGTTCTCTATAACTTCGAGAATGTTGTGGAAGTGGAATCACACAGTGTGGATGTTTTGAGATTGATTTTGTTCACTCCACATGATGCCTTTGGAAACTTACAAGTTGCGCACATGTAGACAAGTTATTCCTTTTTATTGCTGAGTAATAGTTCCTGGTAGAAATGTACCAGTTTGTTCAACCATTCACTTATCACTGGCCATTATGCATGTTTCCAATTCTTTTCCATTACAAAGAAAGCTGCTCTAACATTCACGCAGAGATTGAGTGAAGCCATAGTCTTCATTTTGCTCAGATAAATGCCTGGGAGTGTGATCTCTGGGACATAAAACCCACTTCCTCTCCTGGAAGAATGGAGGAAAGGATGCTTTTTGTTGGAGGCAAGCACATACAACTTCTTTTTTTTAAAGATTTTATTTATTCTTCAAGTAATCTCTATACCAAACTTGGGGCCCAAACTCACAACCGCAAGATCAAGAGTCGCTCACTCCACCAACTGAGCCAACCACATACCCTAAGCACATACAGTTTCTGAGGTCCACACTGCACTGTGCATTTGGGCTAAGTTTACCATTCCATAAATAAAGGGTTGGAATAGGGAGTCATTTCTGGAGCACACCTCATTGGAACCCAAAATTTTTTAAGCCCTGATGAACCCATTTCTTCCTTCAGCTCTGTAGCTCTTGGTGGAGGCTGGTGCAGAATGAGGCCACAAGCCAGCCACCCCCAAGTGTCCTGGGCTCAGGAGGTAGGACAGAGGCCCAATTGCAGATGTTTCTTGGCTTGCACCCCCCAAGTATAGAATCACCATGAAGACCTCAAGATGGGGGAGGAGCCCAGTACAGACAGTAGAGGCCCCAGGCGATCACAAAGCATCATTTCTGCTGAGCCTGTCCACTCTCTCTGAAATGTAAGAAAAATTTCTTCCAAATTTTTTCTTGTGATTGAGTTCCAGTTTCAAAGCATTGTAATCTGAAAATATGCAGGGAATAATCTCAATCTTTGGGTATCGGTTAAGACCTGATTTATGACCCAGTGTGTGGTCTATTCTGGAGAAAGTTCCATGTGCACTTGAGAAGAATGAGTATTCTGTTATTTTAGGGTGGAATGTTCAGTATATATCTATGAGGTCCATCTGGTCCAGTGTGTCATTCAAAGCTCTTGTTTCTTTGTTGATTTTCTGCTTAGATGATCTGTCTATTGTTGAGAGTGGAGTGTTGAGGTCTCCTACTATTAATGTATTATTATCAATATGTCTCTTTATTTTGGTTAACAGTTGGCATATGTAGTAGGCTGCTGCCATGTTGGGGCATAGTATTTACAATTATTAGATCC